ACGGGGGCGACACTGAGGGTTGCAATCCGTTGCCGGACATGGAAAAAGACAAAAAAAATAAAAAAAAATGTTAAACAGCTTAATATTGATTTTTGCTGTCTATTTGTTTTATGATATAATAGATAGCATGTAAGGGAAGAGAAATTCATTCAGTTTGATTCTTGTGTTTCTACAGGGTTATCTTTGACTCACCACAATGGCATTTTTTAAAATGCCAGAAACGAGCATGCATTTCTGTTTGCTCTGGAAGCATTGCTAACTTTTATGAAAGATTTGAAATCGGTGACTGTTGGTATGGATTGATGTGGATTTTAGTCTGTTCCTCTGTGTGTTAGATCTTATTAATGTGTGTCTGTGTGTGTGTTTGTGTAAGTCACTGGGTCAAAGGCCATTTAAATATTTATTTGTGGAATGCAGGGTATAATATATGTAAACCCTGGTGTTCAAATAAGTAACAGTGTCTCCAGTTATCAAGGAGTATCTTAAAATTTCTTGACAAATTTTCAAAGGAAATTTATTTTTATTGTGTTTAATTAAAATTGTACCATTTTAAATATTTTCAATCATGTAGTTGGAAGGCAGAAGCTTGTTTATCATTCTGAGAGGTTCTTAGTTAACAGTGAGTTCTTTTTTTTTTAAAAGATGACCGGTAAGGGGATCTTAGCCCTTGACTTGGTGTTGTCAGCACCACGCTCAGCCAGTGAGCTAACCAGCCATCCCTATACAGGATCCGAACCCATGGCCTTGGTGTTATCAGCACCACACTCTCCCGAGTGAGCCACAGGCCGGCCCAACAGTGAGTTCTTGAGCATGTCCTATCTACTTCTAGGGAAGGCTCATCACTGATGTCCATTACTTCACTACCAGTCACAAGGCCACTGCCATCTTTAATAAAAGATGTTTTTCCCCTTGTCAAAGTAGAATTTCCAAAAAAAATTTTTAAATGTGCTCATACAAGTTTGAAATGAAACCATATTAAAGATATTCAATTTATTAATTAATGAAAGACCAAGAGGATAGCAAAGGTAGTTCAAAGAACATCTTGGGGATCTAGGTTTTTATTGGCATTTTGAACCAATGTTAGAGTAAGAATTCTAGGTTAGACTAAAAAACCTTGGGTAGTGCCTGACAGGAAAAATTATAATCTTTGGGGTTGTCTTTTCTTTCAGACAGTAATTATTTGTATCACCACTGGATAAAAATCTATAGGTTATTATGTAACTTCACTAAGTCTAGGACTGTTAATCAATAGTAAACAGTGAGTTGACCAAAGTATAATTTCCCTACATAAATAATCTTTGGGATGACTTGTCATCATCATATGATATTAAAAGGACATGCCACCTCTTTTTGCCTTACTTCCACATTTTAAATAATTTTTAACATCTTATATCTCAAAGTTTAAAAATATACCTGTTTTAAAACATTAACTTTAGATTCAGATTACAGTAATTCCATTTGCAGGTAGTAATGGAAAGGTCTCCAGACAAAAAATATTCTAGGTTTTAACCAATGGGAGCAATGCAACATGATTTTACAGGCCGATTATGGCAAAGATTAGAAAAGAAAAAAATTGCTTATCTTATGTGAGGACTTTTTATAGACTGAATGAACATGAACTCCTTGAAGCCTGGCTCTGTACTTAATTCTTATTTATTCAGTATTGAATCCCTAGCACCTAAATCAGCATGGGTATAGCATTTGAAGAATTGAGTGCCCGTGAGTAACATTGACTGAATTAATGAGTAATAATATGTGAAAGCTGTTAAAACTCCAGTTGTCTAATAGGAAATCCTTTGGTTTGTGTGTTTGACCAGGTGAACAACAATTGTGTGCTGGCTCCCAGGATACTAGTTAGACCGTCTTCCTGACTTGCAAGACACTAAGGCTCAGTGTCTGCAGAAGCCTTTTACCCATCTGGTTCAGGCTACAGGGACAACATGTCTTCATCCAGGAACTTTAGAGCAGAGTCTGGTAGGTTCTCCTGCATCCTCCACTTTGGGGGGTGTGGGAGCAGGAGGAGCTAGAGCAGTGCCTCTTAGACTGGAGATGTGCATGGGGACCACCTGCGGATTTGTTAGCCTGCAAGTTCTGATCTCCTGGGTCTTGAGAGGGGGCGCCGAGGACAAGACTGCATTTCTAACAAGCCATCACATCTAGAGTACCAAGGGTTAGACTCTAGTGTTTTACTTTACTCTTTTCAGATAGCATTTTTTTCTTGATTACAAATGTAATATAGTTTTATTGGGAAGAATTTGGGATGTTAAAACACACACACAAAAACACAAAGACAATAAAATGACCTGTAATCTGCCACAAAGCTTTGCTTGTTTCCATAATTTTCATAGCTGTGAACTCAGGGCACACACATTTCTCCGGCTTTTTGGTATATAATACTAATCCTGTGATTTAATTCGTCACCAGCTGTATCCCAGCTGACTCATGTTGTCATTGTCTTGCCTCAAGTGTTAGTAGCTTGCTGTCATCTTTCAGGATTTGTGTAACGCCTTTCCTCATTCCTTCCACTTTCAGATCAGCTCCGTTTCCCTCTTCTGTACTCCTGCCTTATCATTAGTGTTGCTCCCTCCCCTAGAGGTTCCTCCCCTTGGCTTTGTTGAGGTATAATTGACAAAAACTGTATGCATTTAAGTTGTACAACTTGATGTTTTGTTATGGGTATACATTGTGAAATGATTACCACAAGCAAGCTAAGTAACATGTCCATCACCTGACATAGCCACCATTTTCTTTCCTTTTGTGTGTGTGGTGAGAACACTCAAGATCTACCCTCCTTGCAAATTTCAAGTATACAGTACAGTGCTGTCAACTACACTTTGGATCCCCTTACCCGTCAGCTACAAAACAAA